AGCATGAAACTGAGCAAACTCAGGAAGGCAGTGAAGGACAGGAAGGCCTGGCGCGATGTGGCTCATGGGGTCACGAAGAGTCAGAGACAACTTAACGACTGAACAACCACCACCAGAGGTGATTCAAACAAGGCAGGCCAGGTTGGGCCCGTCTGGATCTTGGGGGAATGCTCTTCCATAGGGGTGTGGCCACAGAGAAGGCAGGTCTCCTGGCCCTGCCAGATGACACTGCTTGAGCAACAGGACCTGGAGAACGCCCACCTGTATTGGATGGGCAGAGGTAATCTGCAAACAACCATGAAGGGCTTTACAGGTGACAACCGCCACCTTGAACTGCACTCAGAAGCCCCCAGCAACCAGTGCAGCTTGCGAAGTAGAGGTGTTATATTGGTGTACCAAAGTGTAACTTCTCACACTGTTGCACCCTGGACCAGCTGCAGCTTTCCCGTTGTCTCAAGGGCCACTCCACGTAGAGCACCCTGCAGTAATCTAGATGAGAGGTGAACAAGGCGCGAATGACTGTAAAGACAGCTTCCTGATCTAGAAACGAGCGCAGACTGTGACCCTGGACTGTTATGGTGTTGCTCAAAATGAGGCTGAAGGCTGAAGATGTGACAGTTTTGTAGACTGCGTTTTAAGTTCAAAGCTACATGCCCGCTTGGAGGCATACCGCTGGAATGACCGAAAAGCGTGAAAAATGAATAAAGTTTGGTCTGCTACTTCCTTTTGCGCAACCCTAGGTCTGGCTTCCCCCTCAGCTGGGTTGGCCCCAGCCTCAGCAGCCATCCAACACTGCTTCCAAGAAGTTTATGGTGTTATTTTTTTAAACCTTGCCCCCCTCCAAGAACTGCCCTGTACAAGTTCCCCTCAACTCACCTATGGGCCATAAGTATCCCTACCTAGATCAGATCACTTTGATTCCTGATTCAAGGGGCTGCCATCGATGTGTCTGTGCTGTTTTCTAGGCTAAAGCTACTATCCTGGTCTGTAAAAATCTGGACAGCCGTTGGTGGCATAGAAACACGAGGGGCTTTGTATCTTTTTCCTGCCCAGATTTTTTGCAGCCCAAATATGGTAAGTCTTATTTTTGCAACAATGCAGGAATGGTTTGCTGTGGTTTATTACTGTTCCCCTACCAGCCTCTCCTGCAGCCCGAGGACTTCCTGGTGGTCTCCCATCTGATACAAACCAAGGCCAACCCTTTAATTTCTGAGATCAGCACAGATTACTTAGGCCCTCCTGTCAACCTGGCTCAACAGCAGATAGTCAAAAATCAGCCTGTGTGAAGCACTATCCTCACCCCTCCTCCACATTAGGATTAGGGTTATTATTTAAATTTATACGGTGCCCAACTCCCCATGACTCTGGGTGGCTACAAATAAAAACATTAAAAACAAGGGGGAAAAAATACAGTGATAGACCATAAGGATGACTAAAAATGGCAAGGATACAAAAAAAAAATGGATGGGATTGAAAACAAAGAAACACAGTCCAAAGGGGGCTTCACTCACCCTGGCCAAAGACTTGGGCTTTCTTCCCACAGCTGAGAGGCAAAATAAACTAGAAAGTACTGTTGTTCCAATTTAGCAGCTCCTGATTTGTCTTTACCCAGAAGTCAGGAATCGTTGACCAGTGACTAGTTAATTGTTGTTTTCAGCTTCAGTTTAACTATTAAGTTCTACTTTTGTCGTGTATTTTGTGTTATTTTTTTTCTATCCCTGTGTTGGTTTCCTTCTAGATTGTTTGTAATGTGTATTTTAATTATGCTCACCTTGAACATTTTTACTGGTTGTATGTTTTTATTGGGCTGCTGAAAGTTGCTGGAATCGTTATACATCTGGCAGAATGAATGAATGAATGAATGAATGAATGAATGAATGAATGAATGAATGAATGAATGAATGAAACTAGCTGTCTCCCAGTTCAGTATATTGCTGTAAGCCACCCTGAGTGTAATGGATATTGATGGCATACAAATTTAATAAATAGCATTCCTACTAATAATAATCCGTCCCCCATGTTGGACTGCAATTCCCAGACACACCATGTCCCTTTAGTTTTTTTAAACTGAAGAGACTCTCAGAAATATTCAGAACAAAGAATGCGAGTCAGTCTGCAACCATGGAGCTCTTATTCTTCTGAATTCAGTGGCACCATCTTCAAATAAGGTGTTGATAGAGTTACTTCGAAGCTGAATTCAGACAGCCTACTAAATCTGAGTTGTATGATTCTGCGTTCACCTAATAATCGATGCCCAAGCAAACAATCTATATTGTGTCTTAGGAAAATAGCCTGATCCGCACGAGATGCTGCATCTATTAACTATCCAACCCATTTTAGCAGAGCTTAAGGAAGCTGGCTCATTCGCTCTTTTCCTCTCTTTCAGTTTAGGATTTCCCCACAGTGTCTTTGCGAGAACAGAAACAATTTCTTTGAGCAACCGCACTTCATTTGCCTGTACTGGAGAGCCAAGCTGGGGAAGGGCTGGCAAACACTGGGACTGGAGACCACAAGGAGATCCCAGGGTGGCAAGCAAGAATGGGCACTTTTAAAAATTACCCAGGAAGCAAGCAACAGCAAACCATGACTACATGGTTGCAAAGGAAACAGCACTGAGGTGCCCATGTAATCCCTGGGAGTTGAGATCCTTCACTTTTAAAAATGTTTTTACTTTACTTTACTTTACATAAAGGACATTAGCAATAAGCGTTAAAAGAAAGGAGGAAGTGCGATGCACGTCAAACTTACCCACATATAAAGGTATTAACATACAATAAAAAAGGAAATATAATAAAAATGTTGGAATTATATGGAAAGGAGTTTAAAGGGGCAGCAACATAAATACCCAAAATTAAGAGTCCAAAGGGCACAGAATAAATGAAGCCAGTGGCAAGTGCTCCCATCTCATCGGCGGGGCAAGGCCGTGGCAGGGGCTCTACCACCCACTTACCCCGGGGTAAGTCTAGGGTCCCCAGCAAGAACCAAAGTTCTGCACTTGGCCACTTTCTACGGAAGCCTGGCCGGGGCATGCCAAGTGCTTCGTCTCCTCCGCCTCGAAGAGCCCTCGACTCCCGGCGGCCAATCACAGATTTAAGAAAAGACCCGCCCCTTCCTTCGGCCAATCAGAAGCTAATCCTTTCGGGCGCAAGACTCAACCCAGCCAATCAGCAGGCGCCACCTATTGCTCTGCCCTGGCTCGCTCAATCTCACCAGGCTTTTCGAATCCGAGTGAACCATCCCGCCGGGTCTGACATCGAAGTCGGCCGTGATGGTCTCTTCCTTCGCCCCGACCGCCGAAAGAAGGAGCTGCAGGAGGAAGAAGGAGGCCGTCGAGCCTTCCCAAACCCTCCGGTTGCCGAGTAACCTAGGTACCACCATCTTGGAAGAGGATGGGGAAGAAGCTGTGGCGGCACCGATTGGGCTACGGTGAGCTGGAGCGGCCAAATCGCGTTTTACAAATCGCAGGCGCTTCTGTTTCCAGGAGGCCAAGCCGGCCATCTTTTAAGTGGGCGCCACCGGCTATACAGTACTTAAGCTGGAGCTGCCAGACCTGGACTGCAAACTGCGGACGACCGCTAGATGGCAGCAAAGGATGGAAAGGTTAGGGTCTCCCTGCTGCCATCTCTTGACCATCTGGTTGCTTTGCAGCCCAAAGGCTACCCTTTACTAGAATATTTTTTCCCCTCATCTTTTTCTTTCTTTCTTTATTCCAACCAGTCCATTTGCCAGTGGGCATCCTGGGTTATCAGCTAAAGCTAAAGAGCCTGAAGACATGGCTTTGTCCTCTAGCCTGGGGATCCGGTGATGTTGGTGGAGAGCCTGTTAAATGGTTATATTTCTAGGAAATGAATGGTGCTCTCCTGCAGGTTATGCTTTTTAATGCTTTAAAACATGTGATTTTATTGTTTTAAATATTTTAAGAGGAAGG